TCAATAAAATTAGCGAGCAGATAACGTAGTGTGATCAACTGATATTCTGGTAGTTCACTCAAGAGTTGTTCAGAAGCTTTCCAAAAATTCCAACAATTTTTTACATTGATTTTAGTTTTTACTATATGAAGACATTGATTGATGAAATCGAATGTTTGAAAATATAATCCGACTTCTAATAATGAATTAATTGTGGTTGGTTGAATATAATCACTAAGCATAGTGTTACGTGTTTCTTCATCACAATGTATAAATGATAGAAGACATTCTAATGCAGGTATATCAGGATAATTCAGTAGCAGAGGTTGACATTTTGGATATGATAAATTTTTCATTTTAGCTCTGCATAGACGATATTTTGATACAGCTAGAATTTTACGTCGATGTTGATAACATGCCAGCTCTCGTCGACGTAATTTAATTAATTGACGTTTGAATAATTCACTTGCTTTGACAAGTTTATAACCATTAACATAATGAACATGATTATTGTTGATAATAATTTTCCGGTCAAGAACATAATCTGGTAGTGTGCTGGTAAAAAAACAGTCAGACATTATATAATATGTTGTTATACATGAAGATAGATGTTTTATTGTGTGTTTTTTTTTTCTAATGATTTGACTGAGTTGTTGGTTTGAATTTATTGACGATTACATAATTGAGTTATCTATTTAGGAGCGCATATTGATACAAGATAGTTTGTCTGAAAAATGGAAGTAGGAAGTAAAAGAAATAGTAGTGTTAATATCAATTATGATTGTGATGAAGTAAGTAGGTATTGAATGGTTTAATATAATGACCGTTAAATGACCGTTAAGTGTAAATAAATAAGGTATTAAGAGAGTCAGGTATTTTGGGGCAACTCAATAAAATTAAATTATTGTTCAAAAACGTAAAATAAGAACGTTTAACCAAAAAAATACATTCATTGTATAGTTTAAAATTGGAAAGATTCATTCGCATCATGATCTGACGTTTGCAATCGTAATCGCAAATGACATTTTTGAAGGCAGTTTTAGAATCGGTAGCATAGCAGCTCGTTGATAAGTAGTTTCTAGTTGGGAATTTTAGAGACCTTTAACTCTTGAGGCTTAATGGTTCCTTTTTCGTAAAGTACGTTGGGTATATAACCGTTCGTGGTAGTGTTCGATGTCATATGGACAGATGCGTCAAATGTACAAATATAAAATCCTTTGTTTTTGACTTGAACATTTTAACCTATGCAAATATGATAACTTAGAGTACTGGGTTCTACAAAGACGCATCAGGTTAATACTTTAGTTTAGATGAGATTATTCATGTGAATGATAAAGTGGCAGACCATTTACGTTATACTACTAATAAGTGATCGAATATCGAGAAATAACTCGATATTCATGCCGATAAAATAAAGGCAGAGTTATCGATATATGGTTAAGATGACTTTTAAACAGATCATTCACATGAAAGAATAGTCAGCCTCACTCTATATTCTTCATATTTTTCCATAATACAAGATATATTCACTGAAATAAGTTGACCATAGACTTTCTGCTAAATATTCTACATATATTTTTGGTGTGTACATCACGTAATTAAGAAATAATATTGAATAATGGGCTATCGAGAGGCAATTTACAAGTTTTAAAAGGCACAAACTAGATGAGTTAATGTATTGTTCACTCTTAAGACTGGCCGGCTGAAATTGTTTACTTACGATTATCAGTAAGAGACCGATACAATAACATAGAAAACACAAACTTCACGTTCTAACTGGTGACTGTCTAATCTGTTACTTCATACTGTACTAATTGTTTCAGAGGATAACAGAGAAAAGTATAATTCACACCTTAAGCCGGGAATAATTTGCAAGAAGGTCAATTAACTGTGATAACATGAACTCGGAGTTGGATTTAAAATAAATTACTGAGTGGTCAACAATCGGAGCACACGATCCAGTGAAGTTAGGGTATCCTATCTCAACAATTAGCATTAGCCTATTCATTATACACATCCAAGGAGGATTTTTATGTTCACTTGCTAAGACAAAACGTTCAGCAGTTTCATCAAAACAATATCCTTATAAGTAAAAATGAAGTTTGTCCAGTAATTAAGACTGAAAGACATCAAATGAGTTGAAACAATTTTCACTTCATTATACCCAGGTGGGAAATCCATAATATAAGTATATCAAATTGATCTCATGTTCTATATGTGCAGTGATTTAACATAAATATCAACTAGAACTTACAGGATTAACACCACGGTAACCATGGCAGCGGTTTTATTCTTCGCGCTAAGCGTTATTATCAATTTGGATACGCTACAAAAGAATTCAATTCCTTATATATTCTTCACCAGCTGGTATAAATGTTCAGATGTCTTTAAACTTACTACCTATTGCTTCACTACAGTTTCAGGTACCTAATGTTGTCCAGTGGATGGTTGTTGAGCAACTGGAGTTAACTAATTCTGATTAGTTGGCATTTCCAAGAATTTATATCTCCTGAGAGAGGAGCAATGAATTTCACTAGCATCGAAATAATTTCTAGACGCTCTGAACTGCATCAAATCTGGATTTGAGCACGATGAAGTCTGCAGGAAGCTTAAACAGAGGCTGATAAAAAGCCCACGCTATGACCATAATCATTTGTGGTTAGCGACCGCAGAAGATGGAAAAGGTGGCAGCGATAGATAATCGTGGACAGTTGTTTAGAGTTATCAAGGAAACTGATGCTTTGAATATGACCGTTAAAAATCATCTCGGAAGAAGACGACAGGCTTATTCATTGGGTCGATGGTTAGAACACCTTAGGAATCAGTTCAACTGGCTTGCCTTCACAACTTGGTTACCCACGATATACAGCCAACCTGAAATGCAAGCTAATGCTAGACCTGCAAATCCTAATGAGGCTGAAAAGGCCATATGCAGTCTAAGGCAAAGAAAAAAGGCAGGTCATGAAGGATTTTCCTGAGATTTTTAAGTATGGTGATCTTGTTTTAACAGTTATATTGACTGAGATCTTAGGTAGGATCTGGGATTTGGATGTAACCGCATCCAACAGGTCTCAATCACTAACCGACCTGGTCCATAAAAATGGACAAAAGTGCTCTCGTGACAAACAAACAGTGTCTAGGATAACAGCTTTATTGCTACTACAACGCCCAAGTTGAACTCGTAAATAGAGGACTCGAGAAAACCAAGCCGGTTTCAGACCTGAACATGAATGTACAGAAAACATATTCTCACTTCTACAGGCATAAAACACAGGAACACATTCAGAATTCCTACCATACTATGAGGTAGTATTGGACTCTGCTGATTGTGTAGTTCTATGACAGTATGTGACTGAAAGCAGTCCCGAAGAAGTACATTAATCTTGTTCAGGCCCTATACACAAGCACTAGTGTTAATGTGTGATCTGGCCGTCAACTGCAGTCTGAATCGATTACTTCGAGCGGTGTTGTTGAGGGTTGTCCAATTTCTCTACTCCTATGCTACTTTGTCGTCGGCACGCTTTCAGAAACAATTTTTCTGGAGATGAAATTTTACCGGCAGATTCACCTGTTGACTTTGAATATGTCGATGACATAATTCTGTCCGTTCAAGACGGTGACAGAAAGCAGTTTTCTGACCATCATGAGCAAAGGCGAAAACATGTTCGTCATGCGAATCTCAGCCTTGAAGTGCATAATAATATTTGTGGTGGTGTTTCGTTCTCTGAGTTGTTTGTTTCGGTTGTGGAGCTTTCATTGTTCTTCTGAACAACATCATCAGCACAAACTTCAGATAGAATTGAAAGCTCCACAACCGAAACAACCAGCTCAGGGAACGAAACACCACCACAATCATCCACCTGAGCTACAAGTTTTCTCCACCATCTCAAAATAATACTTCAGGATTTGCTTGTATGGGTACCCGAGCTAGTGATTAGTAGTGGGGCGGCTAAGCATATTAACCGCTTCACTGATCTCGAAAATCTCATCAGTGCTGATGGCCTGGTGACCTACGAAATCTCAGCATCTATACAGAAAGCTCGATTGGCCTTAGTCAACTTGCGTCATGTATGGTGTAGGTGAGATATCCGTCTGTTAACCAAAGGATGAGTCTATTGATCTGCAGTTCGCTCCGTCCTACTTTATGGCTACGAAACACGGACGATCGGAGTAGAATATATTTGTAGGTTACTGATTTTCGATCATAGGTATCGCCAAAGCATTAGTCGTATTTCCTTGGACACTGGGGTAATAATAATGATATTATATTTATTCTCCAATAACTACGTTACAAGAGTCACGCCAGTTTACAGGCTAGATCAAGTTGTCACAAATGCTTTCACAGTTACTGCAAAAGTTACAGCAGTTAAATTGAGTATAAGAGTCAGTTTCTGATAGCATATTTACAACATGTCACTGACAGACACAGTATGTTACAGCCACATTTTCAATAGTAGAGTACAAATAAGGACGGTGCACAATGGGTTCTTTTGGCGATTTGTCGAGATCAATAGTGAATTTGTTGGGAAAGGTAAAATGGAACGCGTTTTTATGTCAGCTCATAAATCCTTACCACCAGTCTTTTGTATGCACTGTGTGTTCAAGTTAGAGTGGAGATTTTGCTGTGTTTCATTATAAGCGACTAGGAAATCAGATCTTTAACAAACCTATCACTTAACGAAGTGTTCATTAACACAGGTACTGTATACGCTAACCGATGAATTGGTCAGATAAAATTGTTTGATTCCTAAGATCGCTAATAACTAATAACCAACTACCAATAAGCCAAGGAAACTATGATATCTTTGGTTATCATCACTTGAAATTACACCACTATTTTTAAACACGATTTGATTCCTGGTCTCTTAAAAGCACGCCTGAATCTACATTCTCTGGCTTTCAGTGTTCAAACTAAGTGCGAATTATAATCAACAGTCATTTGTGCTCCATCAAACTAAAAATTATGTATCAGCAAATCGAATCCTCAAGGAATAGTTCCAAGGTCTCATGTTTTCATTGAATTATACCTTCCTAATACACCGAAAATCAGTGAGATCTGGAAAGCACCTATTTGGTGACAGTTTGAGATTCTGCTGCATACAGAGATCTCGATTATTGAGCGCTTCTTTCCACCTTACTACACGGACAACTTTGACTGATAACAGCACCCATGTCATATTTAAAAGCATCTGCAGAAGGAAAAAGTTTCGATTCTGAGTTATAATGCGTCAATAATAATCCAGAGAATATGACTTCCTGAGTTTATTAGAGGAGATTTGATCCTATTCTCACGATATCCATGTTACATTAGCTGTCAAAAAGTGTTTTATCGGATGGCACAGAGTCTATGTAAAAAGAATAATAATGAATCGATTCTCCCGTGGAAGTAATGTGTGTGAATGCTGTTGAAAAACATTTAATACAGCAAAAGAATCAGTGCATGGGTGAACGGCTCTGTTGGTTTGCTGAACTGCCAAAATAGGATCTGGTTAGGAATAGAAAGTAGCTGAAAGCAAATCTTCAAAATTTTCCAAACGCCCAAGTTCTTCACTGTCTCCATCCGAATCGCGTCGGTTCG